CACTGCTTCAATTTAGGGCCCCCATTTCATCTACACATGCCCCTTCTTGACTGCAAACTGCTCTGTTCAACAGAAATGAGCGTCTTACAGGCCTGAAAAACCAGGTTATGAGACAGTAAGCTACATTCAACAAAATTATGCCAAGTAGATTTGTTTGCTGGTAGAATTTTAAGAGTATAAAAGAGCAGGTTGATTTGGAAATATTCAACAAGAAGTGTTCTGATAGTTGCCCAGACCCAGATCCTAAAGAGTATTATATTTAGGTGCCTAACTTCCATGAAATAAACAGGAATTTGGCACCTGACTACCCGGGAGGAGTTGGGTTCCCGTTAATTATCTTTATAAAAAAGCAGCATTTCATCAAAATTCAACTGCAAATATGTCTTATGTTCTAGAAGCACCTAAGTGTGCCTTATTTTCTGTAACAAGCTAGACATACAGATTGCATTAGCACCTACTTTGAATTGTAATGTTAAAAAGGCCTGTTTGTTCTAAAATAAAAATCTCTCTCTTTCTCACCCTCTACATTTGAGGCAATTTAATCCATCATAACAGCCTCAATCCCCTACAAGACCTCACAACGGTCCCTCAACAACATGTTTTCTACCAAAAATGTGAATGTCCTGTTATTTTTATTCATTTATGTATTTATTGTTAATTATGGTTGGCAGATGCCACCAAAACAATTACTTGGGAAGAAGGAATTCAAACTCTCTCCCACCCCCCGTAGTGGTGCTTCGTAGGAAGTTCGCCTGGTTACGGAGAAGTAAAACGGAGACACAGATCTCTCTGGCGGTGGGGTGGACACTAACTACGCCGGGAAGTCCGAGTCGTGGGGTGACATTATGCTCAGGCGGCGAAGGAAGCCGCCAGGGCGGCTCTAGTACCTCTCGGCGCTGTAGCGGGAGGTGTCCCCGCGCACGGGCTGCGGTCCTGTGGGTTGTGGCGAGAGCGAGGAGCGCCTACAGCCCGATGGGGACAGCCTGTGGGCGAGCAGATCCTGGCCGAGCCGGATCAAGGGGGAGGGAGGATGGAGCCGCTCCCGCGTGCCCGGCGGAGGAGGGGCGCTTTCCCGGGCTGGCGATCCGCATTCCCCGGGCTCCGGGTCCTCCTGCCGGGCACGAGGCTGGCACCGACCCCCCCGTGGGACGGCTCGGGAGCTTCCCCCGGCCCAACGACCCCCGGCAGCCGGGCACCCCCTGCCCGAGCGCACCGCCTGCCCGGGACCCGGGGGCAGGTGCGCGCCGGGAGGATGCCTGGGAGTGACCTGCGCCCCGCCGTGGCCGCCTACCTCGAACAGGGGCCCGATCTTGTTCCTCTCCAGGTAGGCTTGGATCCGGGTCTGCTGGTGAGACGCCATCAAGAGCCGCCGAGCCGGGAGCGGGGGAGTCCTGTGCTCCGGCGAGCGCCCGAGGCCCCCCGCCCTCCGCTCCGCGGGACCAGCCC